GATTTAATGCAAATACTCAGTTCTTTATTATCAGTGCTTACTGGTTATCTGTTGTTATAACATGTGCATGGTAGCATGGAACAACAAATGAAATAACAGTGCCACTGGTGAGCTGAAAGGAAAAGATGACAATAATTGTAAATATAAAATTCTTTTGCATTGCTGATCCAGTGCATATGAGTGGAATATCTCTATATGGGCAAGGTGTGGCAATTTAGACGAGAGTAGAGTTGGTAATTGATTATTTTGGACTTTGATAATAAATACATCCTGTACAATGGAAAGAAGTCCTGATATTTCGTTGTTTAGATATGATGCATGTTTGAAAATTCAAAGAACTGAGTTTCATCAACAAAAAGTGACCTTGTCTTTAGTGTGGAATAGTTATGCATTATGAATTGCAACAACCTTGAACAGCATTCACAGAAGAGGAGTATATGAAATAACATCAGAGAAACAAAAATGTACTGACCTAAAAGTTTTCAGCACTCCTCAAGTATAAACAAATCTTTTCTTTCAATACATTACATGATTGCATATTGTAATGTGAAATACATTAGTTAAAAATTGATTGAACAAGTATTTGTTGGGGAGGCTGCCATTCACTTCTAATATCCATGACTGACAATTGATCAACAAATATTGCTTGTGCAATGTGAAATAAGTTGATCAGGAATTGATTAAACAAGCAGCCCTTGTGTTGGCCTGTATTTGGTGGAAAGGCTTCCATTCACTTCTGATATGCACATATTGCTTGCATAATGGGAAATAAGTCAGTCAGAAATTGATTACATATGCCAAAGTAGCCCTTGTGTTGGCTCATATTTGAATGGAAAACTTCTGTTCACTTCTTGTGCAATGTAAAATAAGTTAGTTAAAAATTAATACCTCAGCCATCATATTACCTGGATATGTTAGCATCTGATTATTATGCTGTATTGTCTTGAGATAAGCTTAAAAGTACAAGATACTTTATAAAAAAAACATTTGAACAGAAACTTTGATTTTGGAGCCTCAGATCAGAAGAATTCTATTAAAAAATCAATTCTATACGTGTATCTTATTGGGAAAAATTTCCCAAATTAATCAGAAATATTTTCCTGATAAAATTTGATACTTTTTGTATTGTTATTTACTTCCATATGAATTGAAAAAAAAAAACTGCACAAACATTTTTGTTTACAAAATTCACATACAAACACATACAAAGTTTTAATCAGAGAAGAAATTATAAATTTAAAAGGAGTAATTTTGTTTCAGTCACATACCTGGATCATCATCACCCACCCATTCACTCCCCAAAGTATTTCTCATTTTATTCTGCCAATAAAATGGTAAAGTCATCCTTTTCAAAAATAAAATAATTAAACTACAGTGAAGTTTCTGAACAAATCTATTTCAGGTCACAATCCTCTCCATCTGGGTAAGCTGGTTGATTCTTTATTAATTGGGCCCCTTTTCTCAAAAAAAATTTCCTTGTCAGTTTTCAAATGGTGCAATATTGCAAAAAAGCCCCTTTTTAAACTTGATTGTTTTAAAATCATATTTTTGCTACTTAAAAATAAATGTCAAGAAAGAAAAAAAATTAATTTTGTTTAATGTAAATTTATCGCATCAATTAAAATATTAATTGCTACTTCTGTCTCATAATAGTTATTAAATTTGCATGTTTGCCTATATATATATATATATATATATATATTTCCAATAATGTAAAGGCCTAAGAGTCACTTGAGGCAGATGATTGCAGAGTAAGTTTACAGGTCATGAAGAGAAATAGAGAAGATAATGATGATTAACACTAGACAGGTTAAGATTGTAGTCATAAAGGAAGCATCCTCTTGGGAGTAGTTCTACAAGGTAACAGTTCATGGGAAGAAACTGTTTGAGTGGAACTTGCATCTCACCAATGAAATATGAAGGATGTTTCACTACAATGTTTGTAGCATGGTGGATCTTAGCTCTGAAGGTTAAAACTAGGAGATCTAAGGAATGTAATCATTTGGACATTTTCCATGGAAATAGCAACAGAGTAGGGAACAGCTTGCAACATTTCATCTGTGTGAAAAAGAATTGCTGAGTGGAAAATAATTCATCGACAAGGCCACATAGATGTTATAGTAAGAAAGTTATTTCCCATATGCTTCTCGGAAAATGTTGGTAGAGTAGGCCAATGAAAGAGATACAAAAAATACATAATAATAATATTTATTGTATATTTTTAAGCTATTAGTCAAAACATGATGAGAAAAATGTCTAAAATTAGAATTTTTCTACAAAGGCTAAAACTATAAATATTATAATAATGTAAATAAAATTTTAAAATATTATTTTAATATAATAAAATTTATTTTTCATTCAGAAATAATCACAGGCATGTCTAAAAATTCCAATTTTTAACAATTTTCTCATGCTTCTATTTTGTCTATTATCTTAATAATATACAATAAATGTTATTATATTATTTTTCGAACACACACATACACACACACACACATATATATATATATATATATATATAATTTAAAAATGTTGCCTGAAGATTGCATTGAAGCTTGAAACAGACTGTTCACTTTAATATTTACATATGCTCTATCCCTGATATTGAGCACTTTTGCTATAAATATAGCATTTCTTTTTCTTTTTTTTTTCCACCCCAAGCAAGGCAGGAGTGCCACTAGCATGCAAGGGGTTACAGAGGATTGAGAACAAGAGTAAAGAGACATGTTTGAGGAAAGGATACAGAGAAAGACAGGGAATAAGATCAATGTATCAGAAGATGCTGATTGACATTACACTTGAATATTTGAAGATTATTGTTATCAGGGAAACAAGCAAAAGGAAGGGAGTTCCACAGCAGGGAAGTGCACAAGAAGAAGCTGTTTGAGTAGAAGAGACAGTTATATTTAACTGTTTCGATGTTGAAAGGGTGGGACCTAGATGCTATCCTAGTAGCTTGCTTAAATTCATGTAGTCTGGGAACCAGTGAAAATAGTTGTCAGAAGGGTTGCCATGAAAATACTTGTACAAGTTACAGAGTAAAACTATATTTTCATTTTATATATATATATAGTTCATATACTAAATCTAACAGATAGAACTACTACTAATTTGTTTCTTTTTTTACCAGTATCACCCTAAGCAAGGCAGTACAACCACTAACATTCAAGTGCTTACAGGGTATGAAGAATTAGGAACAGAAACATTAGTAATGAGTAGAAAGAGAAAAAAGCAATCAGGTGAACAGTAGAGAGCACTTGACATGACATTTAAACTTTTGCAGATTAAAGTTGGCTTGAAAGCATCGAGCCGGAATGGAGCTCCACAAACAAGAAGTGTGAACAAAGAAACTCACTTATTTTCTTAAAGTCTAGGTACCATAGTGAAGAGCTCATCCGAGTAATTACCATGAAAGTATTTATAAAAAAGGCACAGAGAGGCAACCTTAAGGTGGTGGGTAAGTGACTGAAGCCAAGCCGCCAGATAAGGACCAATAATATTGCTGATTCTTCTTTGGATCTTATCAAGGAGCTTCAGGTAAATAGTGGGGGCACTGGACCATATATGGCAGGAATTGGTAGATTATATGATCGAATTAAAATGCCACACAAGTTTTCTAACTTTTCTCAAAAATGTGTTTTGAATATCTCTTACATGTTTAAATGATATCTCACTTTAAACAGTCTAAGTAAATAAGCACAAATTTTATCAGTTGCCTTCCAGTTTCAGAATCACTGACAATAGTTGCCAAAAATAAACATTCTAATTTGGAGACCAATTATTATCAATTTATGAATTGTTTGGAATATTGATCTCATTTGTCAATAAAAACAGTGAGATCAATAGTTTCCCCTTAAATCACCTGAAATAGTTTCCTGTTTTATGATTAATTTAAATCTTGAATTTGAGTTAGAAAATTAATTTTCATGAATAACTAAAACTGTAAAAATGTATAGATTTGTAATAATACTGGAGAAAGAAAATTATCAATTCATAACAGTTTAGATGTTTGAAAAAGTTTCCAGTGAAAAAAATGGTTTTCTACTGTTTCTATTAGACTGAGTCATAAATAATTTCCATTGTTTTTTTTGGAGGGTTGGGGGGCAATTGTAACGACAAATGCATCATTCTAACTACTAATCATACATGCAAATTAAGAATAAATTTTGACTATAAATACACATCTTAGTTTTTGTGCACTAGTGGAAGTGTACACTGGGATTAAAGGAAAAGTGTTGTTGTCTTCTGTGACAAAACAAGTCAGCATCGATTAAGAATAATGAAAGAAAGAATTTCATCTCTATAACAATGCATTCAGCAAAAAATAACACAAGAAAAAAATTTTGAAACTAGTTTCTCTGTTCTACACCACCTGCTACATTCATCAAATCTTGCACTAACTGATTATTACTTTTTTTTATCACAGTCAACCATTTTTTATAGATTATAAACCTTTTCTGAGTTATTTAAAACTGAAACTTTTTTGTAGGAAAAATATATATATTTTTTTTTTTTTTTTTTGAAGGAACATTGCATTAACAATTTTTGGAAGATAAGGATTTTTTCAAGTCCTACTATTTAGCCCATAGCTGGGGGCAAACAAAAGATAGCTTCATATATTTACCAAAGTAAATGTGAATGTAATGAACTTGACTGGAATTTGAATTCAGCTTTCCAATTTCTCAATCCGAGCTGCTATCCATTTCTTTACATGCATGCCCCTCTGATAGGGAAAACCATCTCTAATTAAAACCAGATTCAAGAGTTCATCAAAAACATTTTCAAAAACTATGGAATTTTACTCAAAAAGTTTTATAAGAACTGCCTGATAAGTAGTAGAAAGTCCTTGCAAATATTGGTGGTTATATGAATGAGGCAGTACAGTGGATAGCAACTCGGATTGAGGAATTGGAGAGCAAACCTTAAATTTCAGTCAAGTTTGTTACATTTACTTGCATGTAAAATCCTTCAGAAATGTATGATTCCATCTTTTCTCCAGCTTATGGCCATATCATATTGAAACACCAGTTCCCAAACATTCATCAAAGTTAAGCTATGTTGAGCCTAGTCAGTACCTAGATAGGTGACCACTTGGGAATACCAGGTGCTATAAGCTTGGATTTGTGGTTGGTGTAATAGATAACAGCCCAGAATAATTGAGTTCATTATATTAACTTACACTCAAATACCCTGAGGAAAGGTATGGGTTTACCTCTTCTCCCCCCAGCTATGGGATAATTAGTAAGACTTGTAACACTAAAGGAGGAGGCATGGTGGAGTAATGGATAGCGGCTCGGATTGAGGAATCAGAGCCAAGTTAAAATTCCAGTCGAATACATTACATTCACTTACGTGCTAATACCCTTGGGAAAGGTGTGAATCCTCCTCTTCTCCCTCCAGCAATGGGTAAATAGAAGGACAGACCTGGTTCTATCGCCTTGGATAGCAACTGGTCTACCGTAGAAAGAAATAGCAACCTACTGCAGGAAAAAATCTGCCTCGTCAGTCATGTACCAAAAGATACATGATTGCCTAAGTGTGTATCATGCATAGTACATAACTGACTGACTGTATCACTAAACTATTATTAGCCCCAAAAATAAAATAAAATTGTATACAAAATATTTAGGGTTTTGGCATTAAATAACCCATAAAGGTTGATATGCCACTAAACAAAACCAGCCAAGCAACCATCTCTTCTCTCCTCAACTATGGGTAAAAAGCAAGCCTTGGGTGGCAAGAAATTCCATAGTTGTTGAAATGGAATTATTTTTTATAAACTCTTGAATCTGGTTTTAATTAGAGATGGTTTTCCCCATTGGAAGGGCGTGCAAGTGGGGAAATAGATAGTGGCTATGATAACAACAACTCTGAATTTAAAAACCTCCAGATATGTGTTTTATAGCCTCACCAACCTGCTATTAGCAAGGCATGATATGTACAGCTACACACTTGAAGATATGGTCAATCAGAGAGGAGTACCTCCAATGAGCAAGAAGACTCTAGATAAGATCTAATGAGCTTTCATCCCTGGTGCCTATATAATTGAATAAAATGTAATTGTACTTTATTTTCTGAAGAATAAAATTGATAAACAGAAATTATTTTTGATTCAACCTAATAGTTTTCTAAAAGGAATACTGAGAACATTTTCAGGAACCTAATGCAATATTGGATCGTTGTAAAAATTTGTACCCAATTTTCATTGGTTTTAATTTTCTAATTGGGCATAAACATTCACAATGAATAATGGCTGTCATAATGTTTTGGAGAACCATAAAATATATTTCTATGTATTTTTTCTGTTATTTGAGACATTTATCTGAGAATATGTTTGAAATTTATTTTTCTGTGTTTATGAAAAAAGTAAGGTGTTAACTCTTCTTTTTCTTTTTTTTTTTTTGTTCCTAAAAAGGACTTCTTTGCAATATGGTACCATTCAAACACTGACTATTATTTTTTTTTTTTATTGCTGTTGTCCACCAATTCAAGTCATGCCTGTTCACAATGAAGAAAAACAATTATTTGTGATATCTCTGGATTTTCATTTCTTTATTATTTTTTTTTACCTCCCCGAAAAAAAAAATTAAAAGAAATAAAGGTTTCAGTTTTATAAGAAAACTGATTGTTTTAATGCTTGATCTTGGTTTTAAATTAATTTGTTTAAATCCCACTCTACTAATCCCATTCCCCACACTTTCAAAGAAGAATATACAAGAATATTTAGTCACTTCACTAGGTTAAGCTGTAGTAGCCAAGTACTTTACTAATGGTATAATAATTCTGTTCTTACTTCTGTTCATTAGTTAGCATGAATGTTATGCTCTGCCATTACCTCAGATAAATAATGGCTCGTTCTGTCTTGATGCTGAGGAAAGATGGAAAAGACATATCAGAGATGCTGTTTGGTTTCAGTGAAAGAAAGAAGGGGGAAAAAATAGATATAATAATGCTCTCATTTGTTTAATATCTGGTTCAGTGAAATGGAAATAACTTTAATTTCAAATCTTTTGGCTGTAGTAATGATGTATTTTACTAATCATTATAATGTTGTTTTTACCTCCATTAGTAAGTTAGTTAGAATGTATGTTATTCCCTGCCATTACCTCAGATAAATAATGGACCATTCTGTTTTGATTACAAGGAATGATGGAAAGAAAAAAATATATCCTTAGTGAAAAGAAAACATACATAAGAAAGAAACAAAAAAAAATGGAAGATAGAGGAGGGGATTCTGCTCTTAGGCATTTAATGTCAGAATCATTGAAATGGAAAACCTTGTCAATTTTTAAAAATTAATACAATGTATCCATTGTAAATGCTGAAAAATCTCACAGATTAAGAAGAGACTTGAAGCAACAGGAATGTGTTCTACAGAAGGATGCTGAGGATCCCATGGATTAAACATGTGAACAACAAAGTTTTAGAGAAAATGGAAACAAAAAGGATACTTATACTCAACATCAGAAAGACATAGCTGAAATTTATAGGGTACATAGTGAGGAAAAAGGGCTTAGACTCACAGGACATATTGAATGCAAGAGACAGAAGAAAATAATGCATAAACTACCTAACAAGCTTGAATAAATGGTTGGCAGAACAGGGTTTAGTATAGAGAGTAAAAAGACAAAATTTACTAAGAGCTACAATGCATAGGAAATTGTGGAGAGCCCTGAACACATATTTCCTGAAGGAACATTGCACATAGAAAAAGAAGAAAATCCATACTATAATATCCATGTTGTAATATTTTAAGATGTTATCATTCTAAATGTTATTAGGACTTTGGATTATTTTTTATTTTTGGACAATCTCTACTACCATCTTTAACAATCTATTCTACAGCCTCACAGATGGGTAATCTGTTAGAATAGAAAGAGGGCTTTTTGCTGATTTTTTTTTTTTTTTTTTTTTTACAGAAAAAAGTTTAACAAAAAAGAAGTAGTGTTTAATCTATCAAGTAATTTTGTATTTGTACACAGTGAAGAAAAGAACTGTTATGTAATAACAATCCTTCTGTATGACAATGAATGCTGGAGATTTTCCTCACAGATGAAGAAAAGACTTGAGGCAACAGAAACAAAGAAAAAAGTATTGAACTGTTATGTAATATCAGTCCTTCTATATGGCAGTGAATGCTGGACAATCTTCTCTCAGATGAAGAAGAGACTTGAAGTAAGAGAAATGTGGTTCTCTAGAAGGATACTAAGAATACCATGGATTGAACACATGAGTAATGAAGAAGGTTTAAGAAAAATAGAAGCAAAAAGGACACTTATTTTCAGAATCAGAAAGAGATATTTTACATTTCTAAGGCATATGATGAGGAAAGAGAGACAGGAAAATTGGACTCTCACAGGACAAGAGAAAAGCAGCATGTCACATAGAAGATGCTGCTCTCTAATTCCATGTCTTTTGGGCAAAGAAAACCAAACTCTGCTGAAACTAACAAAATCTAACAGAATAATTAATATATGTCATTTCCTTCAGTTTCACTCTCCAATAAAGTTTCTGATCAAAATTTGCTTATATAACAATTCTTGTAGATGTAAAATAAGAATAAAAGGATCATCATCATTCAGTTGTACTGCTTGCACAGATTCCCATGAATCTTTGCTGCTATCCAATTCTATTGTTCCTCATATTTGCCAGGTCAGAGAGGTTTCAGTTTATGTTGTCACAAATCTTTAATATAGATCTTGGCTTGTCTTCTGCTAGCTCTTGCTTGTGTAGGATACCACCAAAAACTTAAGTAACAATTTCATCTTTAGCTCCTCAGCAATGCCCTGCAAATCTGACTCTAATCTCTTTGACAATGTCTGATATTGAACAAAGGTTCCCATACAATCAATCATTGGTCAGACAATCCCCTAAAGAGACACCCAAAACCACTCTCAGCATGTGAGTGTAGGTTCCATACAATCTTCTTTCCATTTTTGAGGTAACAGTCTATCCTGAACAGTCATACAATAGAACAGAGACAACAGTTGCTTGAAAGGGGCTCCTTTTCATGTTGTTTTGAAGTCTAGATTTCCACACTAGATATAACTTGTCAACAGCACTCCAGAGTGTTTACATCACTCTTGCAGCTGGATATTTTACTACATAAATAAGTAAATTCATCTACACAGTTGAGAGGTGAGCCAGATACTGTTTTGATTGTTCCATTTTGATTTAAATTTATGCATTCTGTTTTGTCTGAGTTAAAATGGAGGCTGAATGTTCAAGGCTATGGAGAAAGGTTTCTACATGTTTTATTAGATTGGAGTGTATCACTAAATCATGACTTGAAAAAATATAATATATATATATATATATATATAACTGAGTTATAAAATGCGATAAATATAATTTTGATTATTTATTTAAGAAAGTTAATTTATTAGTTCAAATATTTTTATTCACCTTTTGATAAGCAAACAAAATGTTTAAATATGAAATAACATAAAAATTGTTGAAAATATTATCTGTGCGGCTCACAGTTCTGGAAATAAGTGGCTATTGTTTTTTGGGGGGTTTTTTTTTTACTGTTTGCTATTTTTCCTTTAAAAAATGAAGAGGAAAAAAATGACTCCTCTCTTTCATCATGGATTGCATAATGGAAGAAGCCCAAAGAATGAACTGGCCAAAATACTGCATTACCAACAAAAGCAACACAAAGAATGAGTCCAGTAGTCTGAACAATTTCTGGAAAGTTTATCCATGTTGTTATTTTTTTTATAACCTAAAATGACAACTAATGCTATTAGAGGTTTTATATAAAGTGTATTTAAGTTGAAAAAAAAATGAAAATATCTTTTCAGCAGAAGAAAAAGTGACTACCTTGCCTCAGGATACTATCGATGTGTATCAGCAAAAGATTCTTCTCCAAAACTGGACTGCATGAATAAAAAAATTCTAGAATTCTTTTATTTACTTATATTTTGTGGAGTAATTGATAAAATTGTCAACAAGTGGAATTGTCAAAATTCTCAATAAACAATCATTTCGTCCTATATTTGGGACTCATCAGCAGTGTGCATCCACTACCGAAAATTGAAACGCTGACAGGTTGTCAAACAAACATCATACCAACTGTTCCACGGGCCTCGGTGATGAAGAGATTGCAAATC